TCAGTAAAAATGGCCACCTGGACCTGTTTGTTCGCTTCCTTCATGGCCTCTCTGTGGAGTCCAACCAGAGACTCTTAGGAGGCCTGCTGGGTCAGACAGAGACCAGTCCACAAACCATCCAGTGGATCATCAACAACCTGAAGAAAATGAAGAGTTATGAAGCATCTCCAGACAGAAGCATCAACATCTTCCAGAGTCTGATGGAGATGAAGGACCTCTCAGTTTATCTGGAGATCCAAGAGTTCCTGAAGTCAGAGAACAGATCGGAGAAACTCTCAGAGATCCAGTGTTCAGCTCTGGCCTGCATGCTGCAGATGTCAGAGGAGGTTCTGGATGAGTTGGACCTGTTGAAGTACAACACATCAGCTGAGGGACGACTGAGACTGATTCCAGCTGTGAGGAACTGCAGAAAATTTCTGTGAGTCCAGATGTGTTCATTGCCATCATGTCAGTGGAGATCAGCACTTTTAATTATTTGTAGTAGTTATTAGAGCCATGGAGGAATTCTGTTTGGATCAAGTTAGAGACACTTTTTAATCTTCATCACATTAAACATTTTCATGGAAATCACTGAACAAGTTTACAGGGTCAAAGGTCAACTTAGAAATGTTGTATTCCTCTCATTTAGTTCATGTGGACAGATGTGGATTTGGTCTACAAACATCTGCTCAGTTTTATCATAAACATAAAACTTTAAATAATGTGGAAAAAAAGAGAAAAAGTTGAGCTGATCTAAAAGTTGAAGTGAAAAAGTCTCTGCTTCCTCTTTGTGGATCAAAGTTTAGTTGAGTTTGAACTTGATTTGTTTTGTTCCTTTTGAAGAACACAACATAAATCCATCTCTGCTCCCTGAAGTGTGTCCACACAGAGCTCAGAGTCTGACAGGAACCACATGAAGTCCTCCTGGGTCTCAGCTCGCCAAGTAGGTATCTCTGCAGACAAAAATGGAAGGCGTATCTGGAGGGCCACATCTGATTGGACCATAGAAAAATGGGCGTATCCAGAGGGCCAAATCTGATTTGACGATTAAAAAAACGGGCGTGTCTGAAGGGCCACATCTGATTGAACCAAAAAAAAAAAAGGCTGATCAAAAAAAACAAGGCGTTTGTGTTAACCACAGAGCTATTATGTTCATGGTGTTAACCAGTTCAGCATTAGCAGCATCTCCATAACTTCTCTTTCCTCCTCTTTCAACGCTGAACTTCCAGTTACATTTCAAAATAAGAGGAACATAAATGGGTAGTGGGGAGGTCTAAATGTTTGTTTTTTAATACCTAACCATTACATTAAAAAAACAAAATCTGTTTTGGTTGTTCAATAATGTGAAAATAGTTACAATCAATTCATTAAGAAAAAAAATAATGTAACCAAAATAATGATGATAATTAAACTGACTTTGGGACAAAGGATGTTTCCTTTAACTTCACATTTTCTTGTTCAACCATTTAAATCGGTCACTGCAGATGAGTGATTGTCAGTTTCTGTAAGATTTCTGCAACTGGAGCAGGTATTTCTGTTTACTGGTTAACTTCCTCAGCTGTCTCAGATTGTTTTGGGAGAAGTGGTGGCGCAGAGGTTAGAAGATGGGCTTGTGATCGGAAAGTCGCAGGTTCAACTCCCAGTACCGTCAACATCAAAATGTGGGCGGAAAAGGTGGAACACCCACACCTCCCTCCACCCTCATTCGCCCCACCCTGGGCCCCCGAGCAAGGCCCTTAACCCCCACCATCTGCTTCCTAAACAGATCTCTCTTGAAAATGAGTTCTCGTGGCTCAGTGAGACTACCTGGATAAATAAAGGGTAAATTAAAAAAAAAAAAAAATTAAGGGTCAACCCTACTCCATGTTTCAGCTCCTTTCATAGATCAGGTCTCATAGAAGACACTTCTAAAGAGCAAATTTTGTTTTGAGCTTTTGTTTTGGGCCATTATCTCATCATAGGACTCATGATCTTTAATTGAGACCAGACTTTTTGACAAATGGGAGCAGGTTTCGCTTCAGATGCTTCATATTTCATTGTACCCAGACCACACTCAAGCCAACCTGTGTCAGGTGCAGCCTACAACCAAGAACACAAGAGAATCTTATTGTGTTTGACAGTAGATATAATGCTTTTTCTTAGAAACCATCTGTTTTAAAAAAGAGCTGACGTAACTTACCTAAAGAGCAGCAAATACAGCTGCCAATCAGTGTTTGTCCTCTACAAACGCCTATTCTCCAGAAACGCCCACTTCTGGCCTGCAGAGAACCCCTTCTCATGTTTTCTGTTTTCATCTTCTCTTCAAACTGTTCAGACTGTGCAATGAGGTTGGATGAAGTCCTTGTGAGGATCCAGAGTCTGACCTGCAGCAGACAACAGTCACAACTCAGTGGAGAACAACAGGAAGTTATGCTAACAGGCTAACTGAGCTAGCAGCTGCTAAAACATGACACAACAAAGTTCTGTTAGCTTCAACATCTCACAGCTCCTGAACAAATGTTGCATGGTGGATTTTTCCAGCAGTTCTCTTTGACCTCAGATGGTTGAGAAGATGGAATCAAAGTGTCAAATATTTGTCTGATTTCAAAGTGAAGCTGAGTAAAAATCCACAATGCAGCTTTAGTTTGAGCAGCTGTGAGTTTGAAATAGTTTGAATCTTCCTCTAAACTTCATTTGTTGACTCCATGACTCTGAAGCATTGGTCCATGTCTCCCCCTCAGCTGAATAAGAACCTCCCACCACCACCACCTGCTGAGATGTTGTGAATCTTGAAAGCTTGATATCAGCAGCATTTTCCTGCGTGTGGACGTGAACAGTTGGAGCTGACAGGAACAGGAAGCAAACAAATCATCTTTCCACCTGGAACTGCTCACTGAGTTCCACTCAGTCCAGATGTTCTGAGCTGAATTGAAAACTAGAAAAGAGTCCAAGAGTTTTTCTCAAGCAGACGTCTCAATTCTGACTCTGGATCAGATCCACTGACAGACTATGGACATGATGGAAGCAGAAATGTAACGCCATGTTCCCTCCTTCATTTGCAGATTAAAGCAAAACAAAGATTGTCCTGCAAAGTCTGCAGCTCTGAAAGAGACCGAAGAGATTCACTGCATCATGTCAAACACAGTCAGATGGGATGAGATGAAGCCCAGATGTGAAGAGCAGACGTTTGTCACATGATGACATCACTGTTTAGTCATCAGATGATTTCAGTCTGTGTTTATCAGACAGATTGGCTGATTTTATTACAACTCACTTTACTTTTTTGATCATCACAGAGCTGCTGCTGCTGTTGGACTCTCAGAGACTCACTGTGAAGTTGTGGCCTCAGCTCTGAAGTCCAACCCCTCCCATCTGACACAACTGGACCTGAGTCAGAACCAGCTGTCTGACTCTGGAGTGAAGCATCTGTGTTCTGGACTGGAGAGTCCAAACTGTAGACTGGAGGTTCTGAGGTCAGTTCATTGCAGCTGTTGGAGGTTTTCTTTGTTTGTCCAACTAAAATCATTCCCTGATATTTCACAGTTTATTCACTTGTAAATGTTTCATTCATTTCAAAAGTTCAACTTGAACACGTCTGTTTTGAAGTTTCTCTTTCCAAACGTCTAAAAACCTTTTTAGAACAAAAACATGTTTGCTGCTTGTTTTAACCTTTAAATCACTTTTACTGGATTCAACATGAAACAGTTGTCTCAGCGCTGAAGGAGAAGGAAGAGCGATCATGTTTTTACCTGTTTCTGTTTTGTCTGTGTGCAGTTTGTTTGTTAGCAAAATTTCTCATAAATCACTGAATATATTCTAATAAGCTCTTAGAAAGTCATCATTAGATGAACATGTAGAACTGATGAACTGTGGTTGTTAACCAGAATCAAGATGGCCGCCACAGATAATCAACCTTAGCCTGTACCAAAGCTTCTGTAACAGGGAGTTTTTCAGATAGTGAGCTAAAATGTGGTGTGGTAGTAGCTGAGAGTCACAGTTGGTTGGAGAGTTGTCCCCAGGATGCAGAAAGAAATGAGGAACTTTAATGATGAACTAAAGCACAGATTAACAACAAAGTCCATACTCAATATTCCAGGTATAAAATCCAAAAATTTTCAGTCAGGTCATCTGGACATTTTTTTGTGTGTGTGTGTGTGTGTGTGTGCTGAAACGTTTCGTCTTCGATCCAGAAGGCTTCATCAGTCAAGGAAACACACAACAAAACTGATTCTTCCCCCAACAGCTTACTCCAAAGTGGAACAGGACTGATGAAGCCTTCTGGACTGAAGGCGAAACGTTTCAGAACAAAAAAAGAAACTGTCCAGATGACCTGACTGAAAAATGTTGGATAAAGCACAGATTTTTAACTCTTGGGTCGTGACCCACAAGTTGTCCAGGATCTCCACCTCTAAGGCTCTAAACAAATCAGTTTTTCAAATATGGGACTGAGATTACATAAATATTACTTGAAAACACCAGAACTGTTCCTGTTAACATGAGAGGCTGATTACAGTACATGTTCCCACCCCTTGGTGGCGCTAACGACCCACTCAGATGTTTAACGAGCTTTTTAATAACCTCAGTCAGTATCTAGCAAGTAGCAAAAGTTAGAGAAATGTTTAAACTGAAAATCCAAAAAAGTTCAATCTGGTCCTCTGGACATTCAAAAAAACCAAAAAACAAAACAAAGCAAAAAAATATAGAAACGTTTCGTCTCTCACCCAAGAGACTTCCTCAGTCTGAGGTGCTGTTTTCAGCTCAGTCTCTTAAATAGCACCTTCTCAGAGTGGATCAACCAGTTTGCTGCTGACAACCAAAACCAGCTGATCACATGCTCAAGAAGGACCATCAGCCTAACAATGGATCATTAGATTTTTCTACCTGGATTATTGAGCATGCATCAGGATATTTAAAATGAAAAGTTTACGGCCTTGAATGGATTCAGTTCTGGTGTCTCTGACATCCAGTAAAACTAATTATGTCCACTTCAAACATTTAGTTCATATTTCAGTTTGAACCTGCATCCTGTTGGCTTCAGCTCACATCTTTTATTCTTTATTCAGATTGTGGGACTGCAGTTTGTCAGAGAACAGCGGTTCTTCTTTGGGCTCAGCTCTGAAGTCCAACCCCTCCCATCTGACACAACTGGACCTGAGCTGGAACCTCCAACTGTCTGACTCTGGAGTGAAGGAGCTCTGTGGTTTCCTGGAGAGTCCAAACTGTAGACTGGAGGTTCTGAGGTCAGTTCACTGCAGCTGTTGGAGGTTTTCTATGTTTGTCCAACTAAAATCATTCCCCGATACTTCACAATTTATTCATTTATAAATGTTTCATTCATTTAACCCTTTGATGGTCTAAAATCAGCCCCACATTTTAATGTTTTATTTTGTTGCTGTCAATAGCAACTGATGTTCCTGACAAAGCCTAAAAATCCTTGTAAAGTCTTTTATTTAGTCAGAATAGTTTAAATGCTCCTGTAAGCTCACAGTAACTTTACGGCCCTTTAGTGTTCATCAGGGACAATCAGCTGTTTGAAACCGTTATAAATACAACTTTTCATCACATCTTTGTCTTATCATAAAAACATTCCTATCAGTAATGTTTCTGACCTTCATCTCTGTACTTTTAATTGTTGTATTATCTGATTTGGTGAAGTTTTCCTTGTTCCATGTGTAAACCTCTGTAAAGATTACCGGGACAGACTTCAACGTACCCTGGAAGTGCTGCGTTGTTCCCAGCTGGACGCTGCTGCAGAGTCTCTGCTCGTCCCACATAATAATTTTAGTTGGAGTGTAAAGAGCAAAAAGACACTTTTATTGTGCACAAGTCAACATTTAGTATGAAAAGCTGTTCCACGTGCATGCAGGCTGAAGAATCGTGCGCTCCTCAGCTCAGAACTTCTGACTCCTGTTGGCTCCCCCCAAAGCAGGACGTCAATAGTTGATGCAGCGGCTGCAGCAGCTGCTAAAATATCTGCTTCACTAGAAGAACTAATGAAACACAAACTGGTGTTGTGCACCAGGAGACTTTCAGGAAAACAAAACCTCCATGTCTGACCACGAGCAACACGTGCACATTTAACAAAAACACAACATCATTTTATCCTGATGCATGCTCAATAATCCAGGTAGAAAAATCTAAAAAAGTTAAATCTGGTCCTCTGGACATTCAAAAAAAAAAAAAAACAAAGCAAATCAACAAAAAAATGTAGAAACGTTTCGTCTCTCATCCAAGAGACTTCCTCAGTCTGAGGAGCTGTATTCAGCTCAGTCTCTTAAATAGCACCGTCTCAGATGTCGACAAAGTGGCATCATTCCCAAGAGCCTGGAACTAAAATCTTCGGTCAGCGGGCACCGGGCAAGCAAGATCCTTCAGAAGGCACAGACCCAGCTGCTGAATGAACGGGTGAGACAGACCAATTTTACTATTGAGGCCTTGAAGGCCAAAGAAGAGCACATTAAACAGAAACTAACAACGTGTCTAGATCAGACCACACTTCAGCAAGTGATGGACTGTACAGATCAGGCACGCTTAGCACAGCATGTCAAGTCCAAGACTCGACAACAAAACAAATTTAACGTACTAATAGCTCATCAACACCATCACTATTCCATTAACAACACATTCAGTGTAGGACAACACTCCAGTAGTCAATTACATGCCAGGGAGACAGAAAAGTGGGTGAAGAATTTATCTGACAGACAGCTCACCCAGCCAGAGACAGAGATTCTTGCCAGGGGACTGAACTTTGCGGTTGCATCAAGTAGAATTCCTCTGGTGGAGATGATCACAGCCACAGAATCAGCCATCCGCAACAACAAAATTAAAGAGGCTGAAGCAGAACAGCTCAGAATCAAAGTTTCAGCCTGCCTCAGCAATGCCAAACCACCACCTTCCAACATCAGTAGAGAGGAGAGGGATGCACTCACCACTCTTAGCAAGGACAAAAACATCATCATTCTCCCAGCATACAAAGGAAGGTGCACAGTGATTCTGAACCAGAAAGACTATCATGAGAAAGTTATGACACTCCTTAGTGACTTGAACACTTATGAACCTCTGAAAAGAGATCCAGGAAGTGGTTACAAGAAAAAGTTAATAGATTGCCTGAAAATTTTGGAGCAGGACAAGGCTATTGACCGTTTTCTGTACCACAGACTGTACCCAGGGGAGGCCACACCTAGTCTGTATGGTTTACCTAAAATCCACAAACATGGTGTACCTTTAAGACCAATTGTTAGTATGATTAACTCTGTCACTTACAATGTTTCCAAATATCTGGCGTCTGTACTCATCCCTTTAGTTGGCAGCTCAGAACACCACATACAGAACACCATGGACTTTGTGGACAAGGTGAAGGATGTCATCATGGAGACTGATGAAACAATGGTCTCTTTTGATGTCACATCACTCTTTATGTGCATTCCTGTTGATGATGCAGTAGAGGTGGTCAGTTTAAGATTAAAATCAGACACCACTCTGAGCAGCAGGACCACGCTTTCCACAGAACAACTGGGTCAATTCTTGAAACTGTGCCTACAGTCAACCTACTTCACATATGGGGAGCAATATTATAGGCAGAAACATGGGTGTGCTAT